TTGTGACTCGGGCTGTGGAAAAATTAAGCATTGAATGGCCAGTTGAGAAACAAGAGTCGAGAGTGAAGAGTAAAATGGATGAGAGATTTTTAAAATCACACTCACTACCTCCACGCCGGTGTTTGCCCTTCTTTCCCGATCTACACACCGAGGTGTGTAGATCGTGGAACAAACCAGTGTCAGCTAGAATTTTGACACACCAGACCTCTATGTATGCTAATATTGCTGGGTCTAGGAGACACGGTTATGGGGCGATGCCGAGGATGGAGGAAGTTTTGGCTAGCCATCTTTCTCCTGAGACGGCATCGTCTTTTAAAACACCGGCGTTGCCCAAAAAAAAAAAAAAACAAGCCACTCAGAAATACTTCGGTTTTGGTGGGCAAAGCTTATTCAGCGTTAATGAGCTGCGTCAGGCAGCAGATATTTCTCTCCGTGCCACCAAGGAGACGGCCAGATCAGTCGGCCGCTCTATGGCAGCCCTGGTGGCCACGGAGAGGCATCTGTGGCTAAATCTGGCTAATATGAAGGAGAAAGATAAAGCTTTTCTCCTGGATGCGCCGCTGTCGACCGAAGGTCTTTTTGGTGGTTCTGTGGAAGCTCCTCCCCAGCAAAACTGGGCTGAGACGCGGCGTTCTCAGGCGAGATCTTCCCGGGATAGAACCGATCTGAGGACGGTTACTGTCGCCAGGAAGGTTTCGTCGAAGAAGTCCTGACGCCACTGGTGTCAGGCTACTGAGGGTGGTCCCCACCGTGAGACAGAGGTGTTCGCCGCTGAATCCGGCGCCCGCTCTCTCTCGGTGCCCTCAGGGGTTCGTTCTGCCAACCCTGCCTGTAATGGGGGGTGCAGACGGTCCCAGCGAGCGATTTCCCGAGGGACGCTCGTTTGCTCCGAGGAGCGATACAGAACGGTCGTTAAACCCTGCCTGTGCGCGGTCACCGGGCGCTGTTTCTGTTTTAAAAACTACTCCAGAGGCCAGTCTCGAGAGACTGGTACCCTTAGTAGAATTTCTGGTAGAATGGGGAAGTTTTCCAAATATATCTCGTTGGGTCCTGCAGACTATCGAACGCGGGTACGCGATCCAGTTCAGGTCGCGTCCACCTCGTTTTCGGGGGGTTTTGCCCACAGTGGTGACCCCCGAGCAGGCTCTGGTTATGGAACAAGAAGTGAAAGCTCTGCTACTGAAGGGGGCGATAGAACGAGTTCCTTCTCCCAACAGAGAGCTGGGGTATTACAGCCGGTACTTCATTTTTCCAAAGAAGGATGGGGGGCTGCGTCCGATTTTAGACCTGCGCCTCTTAAATCGGTCAGTAGGGAAGCTCAAAATGCTGACTCTCAAGCAGATCGTGTCACAGATCAGGTCCGAGGACTGGTTTGTCACAATAGACCTAAAAGAAGCGTACTTCCATATCTCCATCCTTCCGCAACATCGGAAGTTCCTGAGGTTCGCTTTTGGGGGCGAAGCGTACCAATATCGGGTCCTTCCATTCGGCCTAGCGTTATCTCCTCGAACCTTCACGAAATGCATGGACGCGGCCTTGGCCCCGCTGCGTCTCCAGGGCATTCGCATTTTAAATTACATCAACGATTGGTTGATTCTGGCTCAATCGGAGCATCAGGCGATTCGGCATCGAGATGCCGTCCTCGCCCACATCAGAAGGTTGGGGTTGAGACTCAACGCCAAGAAGAGTGTGCTTTCGCCAGTTCAGCGGACCACTTTTCTAGGCGTGGTATGGGATTCGACGACGATGCAGGCACGTCTGTCGCCGGCTTGTATAGCCTCGATTATCTCGACTGTCAAGCAAGTGAAGCTAGGCCAGTCACTCACTGTAAAGGAATTCCAGAGAATTCTGGGCCTGATGGCAGCAGCATCCAACGTGTTACCGTGCGGCCTGCTGTACATGAGACCACTACAGTGGTGGATCAGGACCAAGGGGTTCTCCCCGAGGGGAAAGCCGCTCCGCAAGATCAAGGTCACGCGACGTGGTCTCCGTGCCCTGGCTATGTGGAAAGAACCTTGGTTCCTGTCCCTGGGACCTGCGCTGGGAGCCCCGTGTCGCCGGGTAACGGTGACGACGGATGCCTCTCTCACGGGCTGGGGAGCGATCATGAGTGGTCGCTCGGCCCGCGGGCTGTGGCAAGACCATCATCTCCGATGGCATATAAATTGTCTAGAGATGATGGCGGTGTTTCAGGCTCTGAAACACTTTCTCCCAGACCTCAGAGATCATCATGTTCTTGTCCGGTCAGACAACATGTCTGTGGTCTCTTACATAAACCACCAGGGGGGTCTGCAGGGACCCGTTCTGCTGAACCTGCCTGTGAGGGTGGGCGCAGACGGTCCTAGCGAGTGGTTTCCCGAGGGAAGCTCGTTTGCTCCGAGGAGCGATACAGAACAGTCGTTAAACCCTGCCTGTGCGCGGTCACAGGGCACTGTTTCTGTCTCTAAAATTACTCCAGAGGCCAGTCTCGAGAGACTGGTACCCTTAGTGGAATTTCTGGCAGAATGGGAAAGTCTTCCAAATATATCTCGATGGGTCCTGCAGACTATCGAACGCGGGTACGCGATCCAGTTCAGGTCACGTCCGCCTCGTTTTCGGGGGATTTTGCCTACAGTGGTATCCCCCGAGCAGGCTCTGGTCATGGAACAAGAGGTGAAAGCTCTGTTACTGAAGGGGGCGATAGAACGAGTTCTTCCCCCGACAGAGAGTTGGGGTATTACAGCCGTTACTTCATTGTTCCAAAGAAGCTAACGATGGACGCCTCCCTCACGGGCTGGGGGCGATCATGAGTGGTCGCTCGGCCCGGGGTCTGTGGACTTTCTCCCAGACCTGAGGGGTCACCATGTTCTTGTCCGGTCAGACAGCACATCGGTGGTCTTTTTATAGACCATCAAGGGGGTCTGCGCTCATGTCCATTATTCAGGCTAGCGCCAGATCCTTCTGTGGGCCATGGGGAAGCTTCTTTCTTTGGCGATTATATATCCCAGGATATTTAAATCGGGGAGCAGACATCCTGTCGAGGCAGGGGCCGAGGCCCGGGAAGTGGAGACTCCACCCCGAGGTGGTGGAGCTCCTATGGAGTCATTTCGGTCATACCGAGGTAGGCCTATTTGAATCCAGGGACTGAGACACTGCATGCTGTGGTTTCTCTGTATCCACCAGCCCCTCTGGGGTTGGATGCGATGGTATAGGAGTGGCTGAGGTCACCCCTGTACGCATTTCCCCCGATTGCTCTGCTCCCAGGAGTTCTGGAGAGGGTTCACCGAGACGGGGTCTTTCTACTGTTAGTAGCCCCGCGTTGGCCGGCCCGAGTATGGATGCGGGTCGATACTTCACCCCCGCCCAGATCTATGGAGGTTGTGGCTTGGCCTCTGAGGGGGCCAGCTCATAGAATCGGGTCTCTCGACTGAGGTTGTGGAGACCATCCTCCAATCCAGAGCTCCGTCCACGAGGAGATTATATGCCTTGAGGTGGAAATGTTTCACCTCTTGGTGTGGAGAACACCAGTTGGACCCAGTTAACTGCCCGGTGTGGCGGTGCTGGAATTCCTTCAGGAGCATTTCTCCACAGGGTTATCCCACTCCACACTGAAGGTGTATGTGGTGGCCTATCTGCTTACCACGTCCCTTTGAGTGGAGCTTTTCACGGGAGATACCCATTGGTAATTCATTTTCTTTGTGGTATTGTGAGGTCAGACCAAGAGAAACTAATCTGCTCTGCCCTCTGAGGGCTCTAGATGCTTATGTCCACAGAGCTGCCCTGTGGAGAAAGCCTGAACAGTTATCTGTTTGTTTTGGACCTCCGAAGAAAGGTTGTCCCGCATCTGAGCAGAGGTTGAGTAAGTGAGTGGTCGAGGCCATCTCACTTGCATATGAGTCCGCCGGTCAGCCTTCTCCTTTGGCTGTCTGGGCTCTCTCAACCAGGGGTATGGTAGCTCCGCTCCAGGGGCGCAGGTGCTTTCGTCTAAATATGTGCCTGATTTCATACAACGGACACCTGCTCGCATGGCGGCGTTGGTATTAGCGTTCCCACGGCGTTTACACGCAGCTCGAAGTTCCCTGAATGGGAACGTCTCTGGTTACGTATGTAACCTTAGTTCCCTGAAGGGAACGAGACGCTGCGTGTCCATGCCATACTCCCAGCATGCCCGTGAGCGCTTGCTTCAGTCCTATCAGAAGCTGTTGCGCTTGTGTTTCGGGGATGCTTTATAGTTTCCTGGTCGATACGTCACCCCGCCTATGACGTTCCGTCTCGCCATTGGACAGATTTCATACGTGCTTCATGACTCATCACGCAGAGGCGTTCCCACGGCGTTTACACGCAGCGTCTCGTTCCCTTCAGGGAACTAAGGTTACATACGTAACCAGAGACATTCGCTACTGATGTTACAGCTAAACTCAGGATCAAAGCCTGTGTTGACAGAATACCAATGTATTCATGTAGCACATTCATTTATAATTTTGAATAAACTCCAAAGCACAATGACTAAGTGTGTATTTTTTTATTTTAATTGTTTGTCAGCTCGCACAACTGTCTGTCACCATGCCTTGATGAGTATTGATTATTAATAATGTTATTATAATACTCCCAATCAACTACTGCGGAGGTAAAGGTAGTGTTATTTCACCCTTTTTAATTTCGTTGAGGTTGTGTTCCCACATCGTTAGCTAGTTTGGATCGCTATAACTTGAATGACTGTCAACTGTTGAATGAACGAGTGTCAAGCATGTCAAATCGCGCTTTGTTTACTTCCAACCGGAAGTCGCACCCACTTTTGACGCAAGGCCTCATGGGGCGTAGGAAACTTGTGGGTAAGTGTGTCGTAAATGTGAAAGGCAAAACAAGAGGCTGTCATTGACCCTCTGCGAGTAAACAAACTAAATAACTTGAAACCAAAAACAACATAGGGACACCCCTGAATGCCATGCTCTATATGAGGATGTATCCGTTATGCTTTGAAAAAATGACACAGCAAGCTTTATTTTATGTATCTGTCTCAGGATTCATTGTGCGCGGTCCCTCTGGTCCTCTGGTTGCTCCTCTGGGATCTTCACTGGTTCTGCCCTGTTATGTTGATGAACCTTTACTAATGGAGAGACTGGAGGTGGAATGGAGAAGAACAAACTCAGAGACTTTCGTTCATCTGTTTCAAGATGGAAAGAGTCGACCAGAGGCACAGTCACAGGATTATCAGGACAGAGCTCATTTCTTCACTGAGGAGATTAAACACAGAAACTTCTCCCTCCGGCTGGACCATCTGAGAGATAAAGATGAAGGACGATACACATGTACAGTTCACAGTCAGCTGGAGTCTGGAGAAACTGAGGTTCAAATAAAAGATGTTGGTGAGTCTGAACTGAAATGATCTGTGTGTGTAGATAGGTGTGTGATATTTACACAGTTTGTTCTTTCAGAGCGTTTGCTGGTCTCAGGATCGGATCGGTCCATGTCTGCGTCTGTGGGTGAAGACGTCACTCTGAACTGCTCTGTCGACTCTCACATCAAACCTGAACACTTAGATGAGGTTTCCTGGAAGAAAACTGATGAAGATAATGAAGATGAAGATGTTCTGGTCCTGCTCTACCAAAACAACAAGACCTTTCCAGGTTCATCAGATGAGCGATACCGAGACCGAGCTGAGTTCTTCACCGCTGAAATCCCCAGAGGAAACTTCTCTGTCCGACTGAAGAGAGTCAGAACGGAGGATAAAGGGGTTTACATGTGTCATGTGTTTGCTGGAAGACATTCAGCCAATGCAACTGTAGTGCTGGACCAACTGGGTGAGTCAATCTATAAATAATACACAAGTGGAATTTAGTTATGCATTTACATGCAGTTGTATTTAAAGTTTATTAAGATTCCAATTTTAACCTCAAAGTGATTTTGATTTCTTCTAATGAATGCACACACTGTAGCTGTGTGGAGTCATGTGATCTCAGAGGAACTGTCACTCTACAGTCGTTTCTTTGCATGTAATGCTGTTCAGTTATTGTCCATTAAAAACAGTTGCTCTATAGCAGAATACACAGTTCAGGACAGTGATCGTCACGAGAGAAATGATAGACACATGTTAGCTGTAACTTCAGTCACACATAAAGCACATTTAAATCCTTCATTTCATTTCTTTTTTCTGAATACTTGCATGAAATTATAAAAAGGACAGTTTTGACTTGTCAATTAACATTAAAACATTCAATATATTGTTTTTATATTTATGTAGTTTAGTTTTTTATTATATATATGTTTTATTATATTAATGATTTGCTTTCTCATGGGATATTCTGCGATTATCTTTTCAGTTATTAGTTTTTTATTATTGAACTGCTTTTTTCTCAGTACTTTTTCGAAACTTGACACACAGTTCTCTTTCATCTTTTTCAACTTTCATCTTCACACACACATTTCACATTCTTTATTAGCCATTATATCCATCATGTACATATTCTTTTTCAGATGGTAAAGAAAAGTCCATAAGTGCATAAAACATGGAAAATCATATAAAAGCACATATAGCAAACATAGCCATAACCACAGCATATTAACACTAACAAAAAATGACTTTAACTATGAGACAGAATTAAACTATAATTCTTCTTCAATGTGTTATTGTACAATCTTCTCTAGTAGATGAGTTATGATTTTATCTTTTTTTTTAATTAAGGAAGCAATATAAAAAATGAGTACAAGTAAACAAACATAACAGTAAGAGAAAAAAAAGCAAAAGAAAAAAAACAAACAAATGAACATACAAACAAACAAACATAGGATAATAATACAAGAGGAGACAAGTGAGCCAACATAAACAAATATACAAACAAAATCGACAGAGGGCAATACGGATGCATCTATATCTCTCTTACCTACACATATAAACCCATACACGTGCATACATATTCATACACACATACCTGCATGTATATACACACATACACCCATATATACATGCATACATACATACATACATATATACATAGACATATATTCATATATATATCTATATATATATATGCATACACATACACAAATACATATACATACATACCTATATACACACACACACACATACCATCATACCCACACACATGCATATATATATACTGTGTATATATATATATATATATATATATATAAAATTAAATAAATAAACAAACAAATAAAGGGGGGGGTATAAAAAAAGAACTCAGAACAAAGATTATACAAACAAAACAAAAAAACAACGAAAACAAAGGGGAAGAAAAAAAAGAGAATAGAAAAAAAATAGTTAAAATGGCTGTTGCATATTGGCTTGAGTTTGCAGTTGCACCTTACTCTCCTAAATGTTTTTTTAATACCAACGCACAATGGCTGCACCTTCCGGATCATTTGTGCATGACCTGGCTGCGTCTCTGCCTGCACATGGTTAAGACTGTAAGACTGAGGTGTAACATGATCCGGTCGTGTCTCTGCCCGTGCTTGGATGTAGTCCAATTATTATTGTTGTTATTATTTTTAAATGACCACTGGTTGTAGTCTTGAGTTATGCATTTTTAGCCAGGTGTCATGTTTTTTTCCCATCCTTTCTTATTCTCATGACTTTGTCGAGGGGAGGAAAGGGGGAAGGAAAAAATGTAAGAGGAGAATAGAGAAGAAAAAAAAAGGAAAATGGGAAAGAAGAAAAAAATAATAAAAATAAATAAAAGAGAGAGAAAAAAACAAATTTGTATACAATTGTAACGAATGTATACATGATGCATGTATATGCACACATATACCCATATATACATACACCCACACACAAACACATACATATACATACACATACATACACACGAGTCTGTATACATGTACACTGATATAAACACACATTTAATAATAATTGATGACATACTTATAAGCTAGACGTGTGTAGATCATGCCTTAAAAGCCCTTCACACAAATCATACATCAATAATTAAATGTCATTCAAAATAAGTACGATATACAGTACATAGGCCCACGAACATATACATATTGAAGCCTAGACATATACACAGACGTTCATACGCATAACATCACTTACACCTATCTACAGACATTAGGAAACACAATAATAGAAATATTTAAATACATAATAAGAAGAATATTTAAAAGCATAATAAGAAATATTAACATAAATAATATTATTAGGCCTACGCACACGCCCTACACGCATGTGATGTATTAACTAATACAGTGCTGGATTAAAATGCAGAACAATACCACGAGTATGTCAGATGTCTTTAATCCAACTACCATATACATTCCATGCTATATTAACTCAAATTTAAAGTATATTCATTGGGTATTCGATAGTATTAATATGCATGGTATGCGTCTCATATATTTAACATACAGTAGGTAACTGGTGAGGCTCTAATTCACCTATCAGGGCACATTAATGTTTAACGATTCTGAAATGGAACCAAACATTTGTTTGAATTTAATTAATTTGTGTTTAAGGGTCGCCGTCTGTTTTTCTTTAGTAATATGATCTGTTAATAAGTGCTGCCATTGAGTAATACTGAGTCTGCTTTTATTTTTCCAGTTAATTGGGACTTTTTTCTTGGCGATAACTAGAGACAGAAGTAAGGGTGATGCATGTACCAGTGGAGGGTTTATTTTTGATGTGTCTCCTAGAAGACATAATGACGGATTTGCCGGGATATTACATTTAAGATATTCAGATAGTTTACCAGTAATCTCTCTCCAAAATTTAATAACTGGGGGGCAAGACCAGATAGCATGAAAATAATAATCTTGTACATTTAGATTGCAGTGTTCGCATTTGTTTGATTTTGACAGTCCCATTTTAAAGTTTATGTTGGGTTAGGTGTGTTCTGTGTATTACTTTAAATTGAATTAATTGTACATTGGTATTTCTACTCATCTTAAATGTATTTAAGCTAACTTCTTTCCAAAATTCGGCATCTGTGATTATGTTGATCATTTTCCCATTGTTTAATAGGTATTGAATATGTTGTATCTGTATTTATTAGTATAGTGTATAATTTGGATAATAATTTTTTTGTGTTGCTGATTTGTTTTATTTTTTCAATAAGAGGTGGAGATTTAGGAAGAAGGTTGCCAATCTTAAATCTGATAGCGTGATTGATTTGTATGTAATAAAAGTACTGGGCCCGGTTCCCCGATAACGCTCACTCTTAGCGCGCTAAGAAGACTCAAAAAGATATATCTCACCGAAATGGTTTAGGTTCCTAAGTGTGTTCCCCGAAGTATCCCTTATTAGGAAGCTTCTTAACTCGCTCCTCTTACGTTCGACGTTGCGAAGGCACTGTCCCAAGTGAAGGTGCTGAATTAGCTGGCATCGATTGCTCAGGAATCGATTTTGCACTTCACGTGAAGGTGCATTACGGCGTTAAGAAAGATAACACGTTCTATGCAAATGAAACATTCCTCAAATTATTCGAGTAACATTTATTTTAACATTGTTTAAGTTATCAGTAAAATATAGACTATTAATTCAATTATGAAATTGTGATATGTCAAAATATTTGAGGTGACCGATTTATGTTCACAGAAGCACGAGCCGCGCACGAATCCCAACACGACGCTTCATGAGATAAGATGTACGTGGCTAAACTAAACAGCTGTTTTACGATAGACGTTTTAAACGACGACATAAATAATCAGTTTGCAAAGACTGTATCAATCAAAGCTCAGCTTCGGGAAGGGGATATTTACAGGTAAAGATAAAGAGACTGAGAGAAGAAGAACAAGAGAAGGAGATTTGAAGCTGCTTTGATACAATCTGTATTGTAAAAAGTGCTATATAAATAAATGTGACTTGACTTGATTTGACTAGATGGAGATAAGAGAGGAGAGCAAAAGCCTATTGCATACTGTGGCCAGAATGAGAATACCTGTCATGCAATGGATTCCTATTTAACACAGATATACATAACATAGCGTAAGTTCTTTGACAATTACAGTGGAAAAAATAATATGCCCACGAACACTAGCACGATCACTTTTGGGACCTCTCTATTTATAAAACCCTGTGTATGGCTTTTGCACTGAATAGAAAATGATATTTTTCAACCAAAAAAAAATACAATGAATTTCAAGGCTGTACAGAAGAGTGCACTATTGCTGACTTATATACTGAGGTTTTCATTACATTATTTTAATATAGTCAGTCAGGAACTAAAGTGGGCCGGTCAAAGGCATGAAACTTCAGGGCTGAAAATGAGTCCCACTCCAGCCCTGAAACCTCTCACTCAAAGTGTAAACCTACACACCAAATCGTCAAAACCATAAGCTATTTCTCAGCCTTTGACTCAGTTTTCAATTGCTTAACCCCTTAACTGTCACCGTCCCGGTACCGGGACGCCTAACTTTAACTCACTATATTTCTATTAAATCCTAATCTAATTATGACAAATTATATATTGTTGGAAAGGTCTAAGACTTCTAAATAAATATTCTACCCCTGTTTTGTGTTACAAATTATGTAGGAAGAGTAATTAATGAATTTATGACAAGAGTGCACCTCAAAAAATCTGCATCATAACACGAGGTCTGACCTTTGTCACAAAAAGTTGATGCACCCACTTTTAATCATTGAAACTTCTGTTTTTATTCTAAAAGTTCATAATAAAACATCTAATCTAGTATTTTTCAATAAAAAATAAAAAGTATAGTATAAAATTATCCTCTAAAAATTATAATATATATGTATACATTATCCTCTAAAATATAATAATATTTTTTATCACTTTTTTTATTATATCACATATTTTAGTAGTTATCATAAATTAGGTAT